GAACTTGGAAATGAAATTCCATCTTTCATCAAAAGTCATGTTTGATTGAAAAAATTTTCTTGGCAATTCAATTTCCATCTTTCACCTCACACGGTTCCAAATTCCATGATTTTGAGGAAAATCAATTCCCACAAATTTGGTGGAATTTAGTTTTCCAAGCTACTTTTTTTTTTTGAAATACATTCTATCCTCAATTATAATAAATTATATCCCTTTAATTGACAATTTTCACGTAAAATAAAATCAAAAGAAAATCAAAAGATCCAAAATTTTAATATTTTCCACGTGGATAATTATACTAATCAAACATAATTAATTGACAATTCTCAGGAAAACAATTCTGGGCAAAACTCAAATTTCCTAAAATTCATTTTCTTTCCACCCAAATTCCACTCTTGCAATCAAACGAACCCTAACAATAAATAATTAGTGAAATTTCAAGAACTAATCTTTGAAGAAAACTCAGAATCACTACTGATCGATCAAGGCATAGCTCAACTAGTAAAAACAATGACTAAGAACTAGATCATTGACCGGACTTCAAGTCATCTACCAGAGTAGGGGTGAAATATAATCATTTCAATTTTTTTTTTTTTTTGGAAAAAAAAAAATTTACCTACACACGAACACATTATATAACTGTTTGAGCCACATTAAAATTTTCATTATCATTCTTCTATTCATTTTCAACCACACATTATTCAATAAAATAACATTTTCCTTTACATCAATAACTTTTCCTTCTTTTACAACCACACATTCTCTGTCAATCTACTATTCCAAAATGCATTCTTCTAAAATAATTGGGGGAAGAAATCGAAAATACTTTAAAAAGCGTGTTTGATGCACATTAAAATGGAAAGAATGCATTTTATTTTGTGATGTGATGATGAATATGTGGTTGAAAAAAAAAAGAAAAAATTATTGATGTGATTGAAAATATTGTTTTATTGAAAAATGTGTGATTCAAAATGAGTAGAAGAATAAAAATAAAAATGTGACTCAAACATGGGCTAAAACTGTTGACTTGTGATGGACATGCTACACAGTATATCATATAACAACATCAATTAAATATGCATTAGGCTTACGAAATAATTGCTTATAGCTTAAATTAAGAGCCATACAAAATAATTTAGTTTAAATTAAATTTCACTTTTTTTTGGACCTACTCAAAAATCCCACTCCCACGTGAGATCCATAATAAACTGGAAAATT